CCTCTTTGGAGTTTCGTCTTTCAGCCAGATCAGCAGTTCTATGGTGAGTGGGATCAGGTGGGATAAGGAGATGATATTTCTCTTTGGGCTTCGCCGGATCGGCAGTTTGGCGGAATGTTCACATAAGATGGGACGAAGCCATGGGCCATCCTGAGCCAGAAGCCCATTTGCCTTCAGAGAACTGCTTTGGCTCCGTTTTCTCGGTAGGCTATAAATGAATGGAGGGAACAGGCAGGGTTGTTTTTATGTTGTTCCGTAATGCCATGAGAAGGGCATTAAGCCCTCAGCGAGGATGGGCGGCTCTTATCGTGTGTGGGCCAAGGTGGCCCAAGCCAGGCTGTCGGAGGGTCCCAGGTATTTCTAACACACCCTGATGTTTCTCCCTGAGCTGAGCAAGCTATTCCTCCCAGCAGTGGTGAGAAGTTTGTAGCTAGTGAATAAGTTAGCTGACTGGTGAGCTAAGCTGGTGATGGAAATAGTTCTTGCTCTTTAATGTATTTCAGTGCGCACTTCCCGTTTTGGATAACCCCTTTTCAAAGAAAGTACGATCCATCATCGATATGTTCCAGGCTCAAAGATCGCGTTACATGAAGGTAACTTGGATTCTTGCTTTGGCTGGTGAAAATCTTTACAGCTCTTTTTTGGTGGCGGGGGGCGGCGGCAGGGGTGGGGTGGGGGGGAGCAGTAAGTGGCCTTGATGGGCACTTTCATTTTTAGCGGCTCCTGTTTCTGCATCCCTCCCGTATGTCCTAGCTGAGGACGTTCACTGTCAAAATGGGACGGGGCATTGTTACATTCACACAGTTGAGGTAATTCTCGCATTGCACTGGATATCCTTAGGCTATAAAAACGTCTCTTCACGGGGCAGCTATGCAAAGTTTAAAGCGGAATCCTCAGGAGCACTGGGTACTAAGTTCACCCTGACAGTCATGTTCCCTCTAAGCTGTGGAGTCTTGTGAGCAGAAATTCTACTTTGTGAGCTACTGGCATGAAAACTGTGAGCAGGTGATTTGACTACTGCATCAATTAGTTTGCTCTGAAGCCCTCCTTCCTGAGCTAAGACAAAAATCTGTGAGCCGGAGGCTAAAAAACTGTGAGCTAGCTCACACCAACTCAGCTTAGAGGGAACACTGGACTCATCACTGACTCGTCGTTTTTTCTTCTTTCTTTTGCTTGCAGCTTATGATTGTGAAGCAGGAAGACAAAGTAGATTTGCTGTTCAAACACTTTTTGGTGGAAGATAAGAGCACGAACGGAGGGGCGTCGTACGTGGACTTCCTCTGCCACATGCACAAGGAGATTCGCCAGTTGCTGAGCTAGAGGAGGGGGCGATGCTGGATTTCAACACCGGCACTTCTGTCATCGCCAGCCACCTGAAAAACGGTCCCAGTTCCTCCGAGAAGGACGATAATAGAAACCTGTACAATTCCATAATTTTTAATACACTGTGCATAAGCAGAGTTTCAGCATCTCCCAAGCCCTTTTGAGAGAACAAGACACGGACAGGCGAAACACCCACACAGGGTGGAGGACAAGATTGTGTGCTCCCAGTCTGAAATCTGCATCCCTGTGCTGGGCAGGAATCTACACTTCCTGCCGCCCCAGTTCCAGTATAACAAATGTCTCTTGGATTTACTTTGACACGATTCAGCATCAGGTGACGTGATTGCTCTCCTTTACACAGCGGCTGCAACACGGTGCGCGTGCCTGATACTCAGTGAGGTGGAGTAAGGGAGTCCGCTAGCGAAGGGTTGGTACGGCTGGCAGGCCCTGTCCAGTCCAAGGGTAGGAGGGGAATGGAGCCACCCACTGTCACTTGCACGTCTCCTCCTAAGCGGAGGAAGCCACATCATATGGTCTACAAATTAACTTGAGTTGTGGCTGTCTGGAGAACACCTCACCCATGCTGTGAGCCTGGAAAGACCCAGCTCGCCCCTGCCACCATTGTGTGGCTGTCTAGATCTGCCTCGGGGAAAGTAAGTGCTGGTGAGAGGGTGCTGATTCAGGGACAGGTGACTCTGTCTTAGGGTTGGTGTGCACAGGCATTGCTGCCGCCTTTTTGAAGAACACGGCATCCCTTTTGATGCCTGCATCCGGTTTCTTTGATGCGTCACCCTCTGTCTGCTAGGGTTTGCTCGGAACACGCTCTCGTCCCTTCTTTTTTACTTTGAAAGGTAATGTTGCTGAACGGAGCCCAGGCCTATGTTTGGGGATCCACCTAGACTTGGTTCATTTAAGCAGCTGAGCGGCATTGACGAGCCTGGTAGCACCACAGAGAAAGAATTATTCATATGCATCGTACGAGGTTCAGATCATGCCACTGTGGATTCTGAGCTCTGAAGGGTTTGGCCATGGGCAAATTCAGCATATAGCACCTGAACGGCTATGTCTTGAGTGGTTCCTACTGGCCAAGTAGCAGGAAGTCTTCCTGTGTTGTACCTCAAACAGCAAGTCCATGTGGCTTACAGCTAGCTTTTCCGAGTGGTTTTGCTAGGGGTGGGCAAACCTGGTTTCGCCAGAGACAAGGGGCGAGTTTGAGATTGTAGAATTCTAAGGGCTCGTTAATTTTCAAAAGGACACGAATATGATTTTACTTTTAAGCAAATGCTACACTTAAGAGTGTTCATGCAGTGCCCGGGACGTTCCGAAGTGGCTGCGCTGAAATGTAAAGGAAGACAATGGCAGGGAAGGGTGGCTTCAGGCACATGGCGGGCGAGACGACTGAAGACAGGCAAAGCCGTTGAAACTCGAAGTTGAATCCTTGTGTACAAGACCGATTAAGTAATCCAGGCGTGTGGTTTCTCCCCCCATGACCTCCAGAGTGTGTGCTTGTGTTTGTAAATATCATTTTCCTTCTATTGCAGCCGGTTTGTCTTCCCTTTAATTTCCCTTCCATCACACAGACAAGGGAAATATCCAAGAACTATAACTGGCCACAAGTCATGGAGCTTTTCAGCAGCCTCCCCCGCCCCCTCCAGAACTCCCCTGCTGTCTCCTACCAAAAACGTAGAAATCAGATGAGAACTCACTTCCCCAAACAAGATTCAGTAACCCAGATTTCTATAATACTGACTTCTAGAATATAACAAGAACAAAAATAAGATCACAAACGTTTCTTTCACCTTTTTTCCAATGCATCTCTTAATTTGTAAAGAAATAAAATTATATTAAGATGTATTTTATGTCATTGTTAGTTAAATAAATACTGATTATTTTTTTTCCAAGCCCTGTATTTTGGGGGAGGGGAGAGGGGACTGGTGTGCAGGTGATTCGATCATGTTCAATGGCGAATAAAGCTGTTCTTTGCAAAGCTGTCCTTTGCAATGAGTTTCATAAGGTGTACTTACTAGTCTTTGCTTTTTCTAGACAGGCAGATTTTGGCTTTCACTCGGAGTCACAGAGCGGGTTACAATCTCCTTTCCCTTCCTCTCCCCACAACAGACACCCTGTGAGGTAGGTGGGGCTGAGGGAGCTCTGGGAGAACTGTGGGTGGCCCAAAATGACCCTCTCCCAGCTGCAGGTGGAGGAGGAGCAGAGGAACCAAACCTGGTTCTCCAGATTATAGTCTGCCACTCTTGAACAGTACACCAAACTGGCTCCCTTGGAATCTGTGTGTATCTGCCCTTAGATAGCAGCCTGAACTCTTGAATACAGACTCCATTTTTCTCCTTTATACCAAGCTAAGAAATTGCCTTTTTGTTTTCCTGTTGGAATGATATTGTATATTGTTGGCTCGAAAGCACATTTCCCACGAACACTTCATGATCATGTGAATGCCACCATCCACTGTGTGGTAGAGAAAGAAACAACAGTGGTAGTTGGTAAACCACCACTTCCAACTTTCAGCAGCAGTCAAAGGAGAGATTGCATTCAATGTTTCGCTCCTGCCAGTTCAGTTTCAACCTGAGTCCGTGGTTGGCTGTTTTTCAGATTCAGCTGTCTGTAGTCCTAACCACAGTTCAGTGGCTCCACTGTTTTCACCATTTAACCCCCACTGCTGCTGGCTGGCTGGAACTCTTCAAGATTTTATCTTAAAAACAGTCTCTTGCGATGTTCTTTTTTTTTTTCCTTTTTCTTTCCGGCAAGACTTTTAAGAAAGGTCTGCAGTGTTCTTGTGGTGACAGAGGCCATTATGTATGTAGTGAATGCTTAGGAAGCGTTAAGAGTGTTCTCGCAACTGTATTTTACCATGCATTCCCAGTTCTTACATTCACCATAGCTTTTTCACAGTGACTTGAATTTCTATTTGTTGTTGTTCAGTCGCACAGTCGAGTCCGACTCTCTGCAACCCCATGGACCAGATCACGCCAGGCCCTCCTGTCTTCCGCCGTCCTCTGAAGTTGGCTCAATTTCATGTTCGTTGCATCGATGACACTGTCTAACCATCTCATCCTTTGCCGTCCCCGTCTTCTTTGACCTTCAATCTTTCCCAGCATCAGGGTCTTCTCCAGTGAGTGCTCCCTTCTCATTGGGTGGCCAAAGTATTTGAGCTTCAGCTTCAGGATCTGGCCTTCCAGGGAACAGTCAGGGTTGATTTCTTTTAGGATCGACTGATTTGATCTCCTTGCAGTCCAAGGGACTCTCAAGAGTCTTCTCCAGCACCATAGTTCAAAAGAATTATTTATTTTATTTATTTATTTAGGTATTTTTATCCCGCCCTCCCCACAGGCGGGCTCAGGGCAGCTTACAAGGGGGCAGAAGCCCATATATAAAACCCAGTAAAACAGTAAAATCATAACTATAACAATAATAACAGTAATAACAATAATAAAGTGCTTTCAGTAGACGAGATGGTCTTGAGTGTTATGGTGGCATCTTCCAGTCGGCCCCATTGGGGTACCACTGTCCAGCAGATCGTTCCAATCCCACATTGTTCATGCCGCACAATGTATGGCTGAGCTTCCCAGGGCGATCCCGAATCCCGATGGTATTGCCACCGTTGGTGGTGGTGGCAGCGGCGGCCCCTATATGAAAGCCTGGCAGAAGAGCTCCGTCTTGCAGGCCCTGCGGAACTGCATAAGATCCCGCAGGGCCCTGGTCTCCTCCGGGAGCTCGTTCCACCAGGTAGGGGCCGCCACTGAGAAGGATCTAGCCCTGGTCACAGCAAGTTTTACCTCCTATTCTTTGGCGCTCGGCCTTCCTTATAGTCCAATTCTCGCAGCCATACATGACTAATGGGAATACAATACAGCAAAACTGTGACGTTGAGAATCTCAATGAGCGAATGTATGTGAAGCACTCAGAACACTCCCCAAGATCTATAAAGAACCTTAGCACTTGTTTATTCAGAATATATTTACCCTTGCTTGCCCTGTCTGGCTGGTGCCCTCTGCATTTCCCCCTTACACCCACTTTTAATACCCGTTGAGAGAATTATTGGTTCGGGGTCACGCCATGAGTTTGCGTCGCAAGTAAGGATTTTAATCCGGGCCTCCCAAATGCTCTACTGCTCCCTACCTGTTGCGTCCCATCGTCCCCTGGGATATTCTTGCTGTTTTGGGCTGCCTGAAGTAGTGTGTGATACTACAAGAACTCTTTCTACTTGGGGTGGCCGATACAAGGTCAAGTACCATCCTTACCTAATGAGGTGGTCTCTTAGTGAAGAAGAAAAATGATTTGGAGTTGGGAGTAAGCAGTGAAGTGGCTAAATTTGCGGATGACACGAAGTTGTTCAGGGTGGTGAGAACCAGGGAGGATTGTGAGGCACTCCAAAGGCATCTGTCGAGGATGGGCGAGTGGGCGTCAAAGTGGCAAATGGGGTTCAGTGTGGCCAAGTGCAAAGTGATGCACATTGGAGCAAAAAAAATTCCTAACTATAAATACACACTGATGGCAGGGACTGACCGAACTGGCAGAGGCTGAGCAAGAGAGAGATCTTTGAGTCGTAGTAGATATCTCACTGAAAATGCCGAGACAATAAAAAAGGCCAATGCTATGCTGGGGATTATTAGGAAGGGAATTGAAAACAAATCAGCCAGTATCATAATGCCCCTGTTTAAATGCGACCTCATTTGGAGTACTGTGTACAGTTCTGGTCACCACACCTCAGAAAAGATATTATAGCACTGGAAAAAGTGCAGAAAAGGGCAACTCGAATGATAAAATGGTTGGAACACTTTCCCTATGAAGAAAAGTTAAAACGCTTGGGGCTCTTTAGCTTGGAGAAACGACAACTGAGGGGTAATGTGATCGAGGGGTGTCCTGGCCCCACTGCTAGACCTCCTGATGGCACCTGGTATTTTTTGGCCACTGTGTGACCCAGAGTGTTGGGCTGGATGAGCCATTGGCCTGATCCAACATTGGCTTCTCTTATGTTCTTATGATTATGCATGGGATAGAGCAGGTAGAGAAGTACTTTTCTCCCTTTCTCACAATACAAGAACTCGTGGGCACTCAATGAAATTGCTGAGCAGCTGGGTTTGAGCGGATAAAAGGAAGTCCTTCTTCACCCAAAGAGTGATGAACACATGGAATTCACTGCGACAGGAGGAGGAGGTGGTGACTACAAGCATGGACGGCTTCAAGAGGGAATTGGATAAGCATATGGAGCAGAGGTCCATCAGTAGCTATTAGCCACAAGGTATAGATAGGAACTCTCAGTCTGGGGCAAGGGATGCTCTGTATTCTTGGTGCTTGGGGGGGGGGAGGCAACAGTGGGAGGGCTTCTGGTGTCCTGGCCCCACTGGTGGACCTCCTGAAGTGGCAGTGAAGTATTTTTGACCACTGTGTGACACAGAGTGTTGGACTGGATGGGCCATTGGCCTGATCCAACATTGGCCTCTCTTGTTTTCTTATGTCTGGGACAAGGGATGCTCGGTATTCTTGGTGCTTGGTGGAGGGGCAACAGTGGGAGGGCTTCTAGTGTCCTGGCCCCACTAGTGGACCTCCTGAAGTGGCACTGAAGTATTTTTGGCCACTTTGTGACACAGAGTGTTGGACTGGATGGGACACTGGCCTGGTCCACCATTGGCTTCCTTTATGTTCTTCAAATCATAACCGGATTGCATGCCACAGACACTGAGGGCTATTGAAAACAGCACTGTTTTTTTTGCTTAGCCTCTCACAAAAAGTATGACCGCTCAGTGTACCAGTAGAGTAGTAGTACCGGTAGAGCAGTACACCGCTCAGAGTGTTACTTCCAGGGGCAAAGGAGAAATTACCTTGCAGAGAAGTAGCCACAGGTCTTCTGAGAGTAAAGACCACTTGGTGTCAGCTGTCTTGAGCTGAAAGGAAAGGAGACAGATCCCCCCCCCCGTTTCCATGAGCACACATATGTATTCTCAAAGAACAAAGGAACGAGACCACTTAGAACTGAGCATGACACTTGACTACATTCAACCTTTAGCTCGGCTTTTGCTGCTGCCAAACTCTGCCTGCCTGCCTCCAGGTCCTGGCTGACAGAAGCTGGGGTGCCTGCCAAGTGCTTTTGGAATGTGGGCTGGGTTAGGTGATGCTCTTCCCCAACTGCGTCTCTGATCGTGCAGACTGAAGTGCGTCCTGTTAAACACAGCTTCTGCCTGAAATGTTGAAGAGTTGCCATTAGACTTGGAGGAGGAGGAGATTGGCTGTATACCCCACCCTTCACTACCCAAAGGCGTCTCAGAGCGGCTTACAAACTCCTTTCCCTTCCCCTCCCCACAACAGACACCCTGTGAGGTAGGCGGGGCTGAGAGAGCTCTGGCAGAAACTGCTCTTTTTCAAGGACAGCTCTTATCAGAACTACGGCTTGCCCAAGGCCATCCAGCCAGGTGCAAGTGAAGGAGGAGTGGGGAATCAAACCCGGTTCTCCTAGATTAGAAGAAGAGATTGGATTTATACCCCATGGCCCTTCACTACCCAAAGGAGTCTCAGAGCAGTTTACAATCTCCTTTCCCTTCCCCTCCCCTCCCCTCCCCACAACAGACACCCTGGGAGGTCGGTGGGGCTGAGAGAGCTCTGACAGAAACGGCTCTTTTTCAAGGACAGCTCTTATCAGAACTACAGCTTGCCCAAGGCCATCCAGCCAGG